AAAAACACCAGTCTGTTCGACTGCATGAAGCTGGCGGCTGAGCGGGACAGCAACTTTGAGTAAGTGAGCCTAAGATTCTGCGCCTTTGTTGGCTGTCGGGCCGGTCAGGTGGGTCAAAATTTTGTTGGTAGTAGGATTGGGTGTAATTTCATGGAAGGATTGAGACACATAATTAATGTCGCGGATGGAATGATTGTTTTGACTACTGTCTTCCTCTGGTCTGTAAGAAAATATTACGCACACAACGTTCCGGCCAGTTAACTCTACGTCGATCGCCAAGTGTTATTGAGTCTTAGGAAGGAATGCATGGTGGAACTGGACCTACTAGAACTACCGGAACAGCTGCCCTTCCCGGCTAGCTCAGTTGGTGGAGATCTTGACTCATGATCAGAAGACTTCAATTCAAATCCCAGCAGTCCCGAGGGGAGAATTTGGGTTGTGACAAGTGTTGGCTGGAAGCCAATCATCTTAGCACTTAATCACACCTGCCGACGGCCCGCCAAGTTACTGGCCGAGGCGCTGTGTATGTATTACCAGGACGATGTTCCGAAACAGGATTTCCTCCGGGGTTGGGTATGGGGCACATTTTCTGGCCAGATTGAAGGCTTCTCGATGTTGAGTTGTCTGTTCTAGTGACTCCAGGCGCCGAGTTGTGTTTCTCGCCGCTCTGCATCTGGTATCTTTCATTTTATTGGCGATGTGCGCAGGAAATGTGTTGGAACCAAGGCATGTACCGCTATGCCCTTTTATTTGGTATGTTGTTCGTGGACAATCATGCTCTTTGCTAACTGGCCGTGGCACATTCCATGTATGAACTCCACATTCGCATACCGTATCGATCTAGCGTTGTGGACGGTTTCCGGACAGATTCTCGGCCACAGTCTGGCCCAACGGCCACTACATTCACACCATCGGTGGTTACCACGAGCAGAAGGTCGGCTACCTGTTCTGGCTGCTGTACAAGCTCTCGGCACCGCCGGACAAGCTCAGCAAGCCTGCCAACACCGCCCTGTCCGCAACAGGTGCGCAGCGTGTCCCTGACCAGACAAGCACTGCGAGGGCATGGTCGGAGGATGGAGTAATCCGTTAGCCGACCGAAGCTACCGAAAGCTAGCTTCAAGGCGGTTTCGGTCGGCGCAGTTTTTGTGTCAATTTTAGTAGACTGGGAATAAGTCACACCTCCGCCTGCTGTGTGGAGATTGGCGAGCGGATCTCGCGATGTCCTCGTGTCTTGCGCTGACACTTCGTGGCAGAAGTGTCACGCCTTGCAATAGGGACTGCGTGCATCCTATAGCCTGATTGCCTCTTTGCAATTTTACCCGAGTTCTTTGTAATCTGTTTCTTCAGTTAGGTCAACTTGAGTCGTATGTGTCGAGGCTTACTTCGTTATGAGTTTATACTTTTATGGTGACAGCTATCAACCTTTAATATATCAGGAGGTGCTAGTGAAATGGGATTATTAAGCAAACATTGCTGACATTGCCAATATTCTGTATTGATGATATAATTGAGCGCTGACAATTTGACCAGGGTTTGCTCAATACCGTCGTTTAACCACCACGTTCTGGTATCGTGAAGGTTGATAACAGCATAAGAACTCTGAATTCATCATGCAGAAAACCCATGGCCTTTCTTGTTTATGTCAAAGAAGTTCCTCCGCTCCCCAGCAAAACTGCAATTACATTCACTGAATAAGTCCTTGCCCTCTGAGCGGATCTCAGATGTCCCGAAGGGTTTCCGGAATAACTTCTGAACGGTTCTCACCACGGTCCTGAAATGCTGTGTGCCTAAATTTCAACCATTTTACGCATGTCTGAAAAGTTTGAAGTTTTCTGGCTTTGACGGTCCACGATTTGTAACTTCCTACACGAAGCCACGTCGGTGGAATTGAGCTCTGAAGTGGAAAGTTTTCCTGTGTTTAACTAATTTCTCGCAGAAAAAGCATTTCAAAGAGGTTTTCCAGAGTCTCCTTTTGGTCTATATCACGGTCAGGTCACTATATCACGTCGTCTTGGCACGTGCATAGCATCCAAGATCAAGCTAGGCTGAAATCTGACCGTTTAGAGACCTACAATTAAAAATTTAATGGCACATGTATTTCGGCTTTGGAATGCCGTTCCAATCTTGTTCTCCTCTGTGATGTGCCTCTTAAGATCTTGATATAGCCGGACAGGCCAATGCCGGACGGGACGGGCCTTCGCCTATTCTGACCTGACATGATATTCCACTCACATGCGTCGATCTCCACTCGTGCCCCGTCTCAGCGTTTTCCAAGCATGCCCATTTATTGAGTCAACAGGAAGGTTTTATAAAGTACTCAGGTGATCCTTTTCACTGGTTCACCCTGTTAAAGGTTGCATTCATCATTGTACAGACACGTTATGGCACGCAGTTTGACGAGAGCTTTACAATGCCGTTTTACGCATGCCTCCGGCTTACTTGGTTTTCGAGACCTAAGGGATTCTGAGATCACCCTTGGCCGGACGAAAGTGAAAACATTCCGTAGGGCTAAGGCTCACGCATGTCTAATTGATTGCAGGAGTCGACGATGTCTATCCGGAGAATGGAGACCACATCTTGTTCTGGTACAAGAAGATATAACAAACCAAGCTTCCATTGAGCGGCATGGGAGATGTCGTGGACGCCGTAAACGGCCAAGCACGTGCTGCCATCTGGCATCAGGAGAAGGAGTCTCATAGGCTCGTTCCGACTTCCAGTCCGCAGCTTCAGGCTGTGCCCGTTTATGTAATGGTCAACACGGGCAGACAAGTTTCGTGCTCCGTGGCGCGCAACAGATCAGCGGTGCTCGCCAGTGCTCCGTGTTCTCGATGTTACTGGAATTTGTGAATTATAGATGTAAGGTAATGCGATAGACGGATCATTTTTTTCGCGAGTGCTCGCGAGTGCGAGTGCTTGACGTCGTGAGTGCTGCCATTTGAACGCCGTCGTAACGTGGTTTCACTTAACATGCTTTGTTCCCTCGAGGTGGTATCGTTTGTTTTTGCGGCCAGAAATTAATTGCAGGCTGGTAAAGGGAGACACTTTTCTGACTGAGTTTAAGAGAACATGATGTTTTCCTTCCACTGGTGCAGTGTACGACCACTTTGCACTACCTTGGGTTCTGAAGAACAATGCCAGGACAATTTTTTTTGTCACACTTATAGATATCCAGATTCTTAAAACGCATGCAGCGTTTTTCAAGTGGCAATTGCGCAAACACAACTGTCAATCATTCCGTAATTTGCTGACAGATGAACTGATGGTTGAAATTGAGCAATAATTGCTGTCGGGTTGGCATTAGTGGCATATTTTAGGTACGTGGATTCACTAATTCAATATTATTGCGTTCTCAGCATTGCAACGGAAGGTGTAGCTTACGGTTTGCTCTTTCCTTTACTCTCATGTTTCGGAATGGCAGTGAAACTTCTACACGAACATTCGGCTGCGTGTGCCTGTTCGGTAATTCAAGAAAAAGGCGCTGTCGTATCATGTTTGATATTTTATTGTGCGGTTATTCATATCACCACTTTATGGTCCAGTGCGCCACATATAAGGACATCTTTGTTCGGTGACACAACTCATGTGGCCAAGCCACGGTCCAGGCCGCGAGGTCTTCAAGTACCTAGGGAAATGTTCCGGCGCAAGCTTTGATACACGGCCTCCTCGATCATTGGCAGTGTTTTACAACACCACACGCAGGTTCACAGTGGCGACCACGCAATGTACTGTGGTCGCTCATGCACTCTAGCCGCTTGAAATAAGCCGGGAATTGAAAGCAAAACAGAGCTGAAATAAAATGTTTCTTTTTAAATATGGTGACGATATCGTTATTTAAAATAGCGATACGTCATTTCTTTTAAATATCATATCACACGCCAGCATCTGCTGGTAAAGACGTGCCCATGCAACGGCATTGCCTTGCCGAGGTTGCAGCGTGAGGGCTTCCGTGGCAATTCACGCTTACCAAGGGCCTTGATCACAGAACACTTCCGGCATGATATACCAGATTTCAAAATGACTTTTTAACACATAAATCTGGAGCAGGAGCTAACGCGAAATTTTTACTGAGTATGGACCTCGTCTTTTAGTTTTGTGAGACATCGGAGTAGGGTGGTCCAAGGTGGGTTTCTGACTTCGAACTGTATTGGGGAGCCGTGCGAGTGAGCATTGAGTTGTGTCTGTGCCGTTCACTTGAGCGCACAGACACACTGTCACCATCCCACCGAAATATTCAGTTAGGCCCTGAAGTCGGGCTACCGGACGGTCAGCCAACATGCCGAGGCCCTGGAACAGCTGCGCTCCAGCACGGCGAGTCGGCGCAACATGGCGTCGACGTGCTGTTAAGCACCAAACTATCAGCGTGGCGCGTAAAGGGTATTGTGGGGCTCCCGCGAGGATGGGTCAGTGCGTTTGATAGCCCACACCCAGGCGCTGTTCGGGAGACATTGGTCGGCCGTCAGCCGCATCAATCTCGTTGTCAGCGGTGGGTGCATTGTCGTAAACGGTCTGTCCTGCTGGGTGTGGCGAGGCAGGAAAGCCAGTGTACTGTGTAGAGTGCGAGAGGGACTTCAGGTGTGTTCGACGGTGTCAACTCACTGTTCCACTCTGGTTTGGTGTTAGTACTGTCAATACAGCTAACTTTGGTTTTGAATGGTGCGTTTTGCTGTCATCAGGCAATGATTTTTGACCCAGTAATTTCAGCTCGAGAAATCAAACTTCGATTACGGCTCTGGAGCCAGGGATTCAGAACAGGAGGCGCAGCGAGAACTTAATGGTTTGTCGCACCATCACGCGGTTATTTGCGTTGGAATTATATACGGGGTCTCTTTCACCCACTCAGGCTCATACGCGGTATAATCATGGATTGCACTCGGTAGAACACATTTTCTACTTGTTAGACAAACTGTTTTTAGAGCGTATGTCCACCATTCACATACACATATTATGCAAACGTTTTTATTGCAGTGCTTTAAAGGAAAACGGGAGGTAACACAGGTTTAGCGGTGGCACTTTTGTTCTTAGTGAATCCAGAGAACATGGTGTATGATATAATGGATGCGAACACCCATCTCGAGATAACTACGATCCATAAACACTGTTTTCGTGTCGGTATTGAATGCGGGGAATTTTTAATTTAAATCTGGTAGGTTTGCTACTGAAACCTCTCTGCTCTCCTTGCCTAAATATTGCTACGAATACTAAACGCTATCCAAAAATTTTTTTTTACTTTGACATAACAGCTTTGAAACGTCAGTCATGGACTCAACCACGTACAAAACTGACAAACGAGCACCAGTAACCCCTTCTATGTCTTGTCAGTGCTTCCACCGAGGCTACGGCAATCGACAACCTGCAGAGCATCACTGGGAATACCCATTGCAAAGAATGCATTGGTTACATGATTTTTGTCAATTGCGATTGGAGAAACTTTTGATAGCTGAAGGAAGCAATCTGACTGGCAGTCAAGGATACATGGCGCAGTGTACACAAACTAATTAGCAGAGCAGAATGCTTGGCGCCTCCTTTTAAGGTCACCTGACTTTGCCCTTGTTGTACGACGACTTATGCAAAACAATGTAGCGGCGATTGGCATATCATCTTAGCGGGTGATCACGAAAACATTGAAAGAATTCAGATACCCACAATGTCGTTTGTATCATAATGAGACTTTTCAAAGGAATGACCATGCAAGCCCATACAATCATCTTTCTCGTGGCGCCCTAGCTACTGCACATGTTCGTTCGTTCGTCTTGAGCATGGCGGCGAAAAGAAGCAGACGATGTGCAGCCATCAGCAGTCGCTTTCTTTAAGTGGTTGGGGGTGGGAGGGGGAGTGCAGAAAGTCAAAAAGGTTGACCTAACGTACCCTTCATCCCAGATTTCTCCCCAGATTTCGACCACTTAAATTTGCGCACTCGATATAGAATGATTTTTTAACGTTTTGTAGATTCAAAGCTGCTTTCCTGCGGAGGTATGACTTCCCATTTCAAGCTAATGTGAACTGTCTTCCCTTGCGATGTTATTCACAGTAAAACACCTGAGTCAACCTTAGTAAGGGATCAGTGATAACTACCGCTCTCGCTGATTGTGTTTTATGACCACCAAAGCCATGAATATGCGACAAATCCATAGTTGGAGAAAACATGAGTTAACTTTTATCTGGGTCACTCCGTAAATACTTTTAAAAGTTGTCGCATATTACAGTCATTTGTTCTTTATCTCAATCTAGGCGTTATCATTGGGAAAAACTTGTCAGAACATTCACAGTTTGGCTTGATATATGAAGGAGTTGACGTATGAAAGTAAAATATGGTAGGTACATTAGGTACCTTCAGCATGCCCTTCGGTACAGCATTTACACGATACTAATAGCAATGTGTATAGGTACTACTTCATACACCAATAGTAAGTAATTGTTCTGCATTTATTTGGTCCAGTGTTTTCTCTTTGTTCATGTACATTGAACGAGCTCAGGAGGGCATACGCAGGGGCTCAAGTCAGCATTGGGAGGGCCCGGCCTCCTCCTCCCCCTGTCGTGAGATTTTTTTCTAACACACCGCAAACTGGGGATATAGTATTATCTTATGGCTGCATATATGCCCCGAAGAAATCGCTATGATATTTTACGGAACGCGTGCTTCATGGAAACATTCAGAATGAAAATATGTGCAGTCCGGAGCTAAAGTTCGGAAAGCAAATCATCTCGCCAGCTGCACCGGCCGCGGGAGAAGAGGGCGCCACCGGCCGGCCGACAGCGGCGCTACCAGCGGCGCTACGGGCACAGGACCGGGCAGGAGAGCGTACGCTGCATGCTGCTGGGCACCGGACCAGGCAGGAAAACGTACGCTGCATGCTGCTGGGCACCGGACCAGGCAGGAGAGCGTACGCTGCATGCTGCTGGGCACAGGACCAGGCAGGAAAACGTACGCTGCATGCTGCTGGGCACCGGACCAGGCAGGAGGGCGTACGCTGCATGCTGCTGGGCACCGGACCAGGCAGGAGAGCGTACGCTGCATGCTGCTGGGCACAGGACCAGGCAGGAGAGCGCACGCTGCATGCTGCTGGGCACAGGACCAGGCAGGAGAGCGTACGCTGCATGCTGCTGGGCACAGGACCAGGCAGGAGAGCGTACGCTGCATGCTGCTGGGCACCGGACCAGGCAGGAGGGCGCACGCTGCATGCTGCTGGGCACAGGACCAAGCAGGAGAGCGTACGCTGCATGCTGCTGGGCAGGGCAGTGAGAGGCGGCGCTCGGCGGGGCTGGAGCTCATCAAGGTGGCTGCACATCTGGGCAGGGGCCGACTGACTCACGTACGATGCCTGAGATGCTCGGATATGTGTGCGCTGGACCAGCAGTGACCTTGTCAGGCCAGCGGGGATGATATGCGTCACAGGGGCAGCTGAGGCGTTTGGAGCCAAGCGCTAGAGGAGGATCCTGGTCGCCAAAATGTATTGCATATATATATATATATATATATATATATATATATATATATATATATATTCAGTGAATGGAGCGAAGTTTGCGGCATTCGATGATGCATTTGAATTGATACACTACATGGTGCATTTTAGTTTGTAGAGTTTGTCTGGACTGGTTCTCATAAGAAAGCCTAATAGATGCCTACTAGCCTCTCCATATGTTGAAAATCGATTTACAAACGTGTCTATTGAAAGAACCGTATCCATCATCCTTGAACGCGTTTACAATCATCCCGAAATTCCTCCTCTCAAAACATCAAGACGCCTTATTGCACAGTTACTGAAAGCCTGCACGTTGGAAGTTCCTTTCCACGGGCCTGATGGACGAATGTACTGCCAAATTGAGGGTGTTGCGAAGGGCTCATCTGTAGGACCTTTGTTCGCTAATTTCTTTGTGGACCATGTGGAAGCCGACACACTACAAAGTGACGACATAAGATCGGACATTTACTGTCGCTATGTAGACGATATCTTTGTGGAAGTTAAGGACACTGACCAACTAGAACGCCTCAAAAACACCTTTGAAGAGCAGTCTGGTTTAGAACTCACAAGAGAGCAAGTGTGCAAAACATATCATTTCTTGACGTGATTGTTAATGGACATGACAGCGATTTAAAATGACTGCATACTAAAAGCAGACTAACAACGGACGGTGCTTAAATGCCGACAGTGAGTGCCCTCGACGCTACAAAATTAGCGTCATAAGGTCATTTATTAGACGTGCATTTAAGCACTGCTCTGTTTGGAAAGGACTACATTCAGACTTCGTAAGAATCAGACAGATCTTGGTGAACAGCGGTTTTTTTCAAATTCTGACGTTGAAAACGAAATACAACGACAAATGACAAGACGCCTTAACAGCAAACCAAGACAAGGCATCCAACTAACCGTCAAACTGTATGTTCAAAATCAAATGACATCTGCCCAATAACGAGATGAAAAAGCCCTGCGGGAAATTATCGCTCGACACGTAAAAGGAAAGAACGACTACAAAATGGGCATTGTCATTTATTATCGTAATAATAAAATCCCTACCTTTCTTATGAGAAACAGCCCAGACAAACCCGACAAACTAACATGCACCAATGTAGGGCATCAATTCAAAAGCAACATCGAAGGGTGAAAACTTCGTTACATACACTACATTAGCGTGACCACAACGACGCTCTCGCGACACGACAATGCGCTTACGTGACGAGGCACCTCTGGACCACATGCGACACGAATACGACGGGACATTGACCCGACAACAACTGACAGGCAACACTGACATTTTACGGACGTGCAAAGACAGAATACGCCTTGAAATCTGAGAAAGTGTATTCATTAACAAACTCTCTCCAGCCTTAAGCAGACAAACCAATTTTTGCACAGCCCTTGAACTATTTTATGCATTGTATTTTATTCTGCAGGTGTTTTTGTGCATTTTATTGGATTTCATATGTATTGTATTGTATTTTGATGTTTTGGTGTTTATTCTTGGTACATTTCATAGGTATCAAAGTGAAAATAGGGTCCTGTCTTGCTTTGATAAGCCATGCTTCATTTGTGTTTTCCGTGCCAAAGGATGCTTTCCAATAGAAGTGCGCAATCTTTTATCCTTTAAAATTCAAAACTTATTTCTTATGCCATTCAGTTTTCTCCGGCGCTGAGATAGGACTTCGAAACGTCAAAATATAAAGAACGACGAATATATGAGTAATTTTGTACGAACCATCTTTAATTCAAACGATATTGTCAAGTAAAAAGCCCGGAAACTAGATCGATGAGCCAAAAAGCTCGTGAATGCTGAGTCATCAGTTGTTTTTAGTCGAATGAATACATATATACATATATATATATATATATATATATATATATATATATATATATATATATATATATAGGGTAACCCATATTTCATAAGATTAAGTGCGTTTACCTGGAATTAGAAATAAGGTTCACTGATGTTAGCCATGACAATACCATGAAGCGTTAGGTATGTTTGTAAGTTTGTGGCACTTTCTTGTTTTGGCTCTCATAATTATGTGAAATTAATAACATGCACCTGGAATGTAAAATAAGGTTGGCGGGTTCATGCGAACCTTTGGGGAGAAAATTCCCTTGCGGGATGGGGCAGGGTTGCAGATTTGTGTGCGTGGCGGGCGCGGGTTTTCCGAACATAAAAAG